TGATTGCTGGATCATATGGTAGATCTATGTGTAGTTGTTTGAGACACCTCCATACTGTTTTCCATAGTGGTTGTAATAATTTACAGTCCCACCAACAGTGTAGGAGTGCTTCCTTCTCTCCACATCCTTGCCAGCATTTGTTATTCTCCATCATTTTGATTATAGCCAGTCTAGCTGGGGTGAAGTGATATCTCAATGTGGTTTTAATTTGCATTTCCCTAACAGTCTAATTTTGATTTTATTTTTATTTTCAAAAATACTTTTTCTGAGAGATTCAAACCCTTTATAATTAATACCTTGTTAACTTTATCCCTGATGTGTGGTGAGAAGAGGCCTTTTCATCTGAAATGGAAACTGAGGTACATACTATTTAAATGCAATATTTTATAATAGCACCTACCTTTTAGCCTTGCAAATGAGTGGGTGTGCCCTCTTTCTCTGGAAATTTTAAGACCAAGTCCTTCCATAAAAGAACAAGAGAAAAAACAAAAGTCATTTCTAGAATTAATTGCCTTTGGGTTAGTGTTCACAAAGGAGAAAATTGAAGCCTAAGGGAAAATTTTAGAGCAAGAGATGAATCTATGAAAATAGTTTTGTAGTAAATTGACTTTCTAAAAGTCTTTTTTGGTAGAGTTGGAGGGCCCTTCTGGTTCTGATAATAAAGTTGGCAGATTATATTTTTCAAAGTTGAAAAGGCAAGCCATTTATCACCCTGTATTTAACTGAAATATATCTTTAGGTTAAAACCGATAATGTAATTATAGGTCTTAATCTAAATTAAATCGTGTGCACATCTGTGTTTACTATTATAGACACACACATATATACATGATGATGTGCACACACGTGTACTGACTGTTCTGCTTCATTATTAGGGTTGGTAGGCAGTATTCCAGATACATACCTGCATTTTCCAACTAATCGATACCTGTATTTGTCTGTGCTTCAAACATAGCTCCTCTTCTTTGTTATGGAAATATTTAAGTATTTATAAAATGTATTATATATTTTTCCTGTCAGTTGAAGTTGAAATTACCTTTTTCTTAATTACCCAGTACCAGCACTGTAAACCTCAGTGATTATCCTCTGTCTCTTTGGGCATGTATACCCCGGGGCTAGGGAGATGGTATAGAGCTGGTTTTCCAATTGTGGTAAATGTAGGTAAAAGAGAATGAGGTAGTTGAGAGGAAAATTGAGAAGACAAAAGTGGTCACAGAAGATGAAAGGATGGATAAATCTATGATCTGATTGACTTTCTAAATAGACAAACATGATAAATCATTGGACTTGAAGATTGTTGGATCTTTTCTGATAGTTTAGGTAATTAGGAACATATAGCTTTATATTGGTGGAAAAGAGTTTTTGGAACTATTCCAGTTCAATTCCTGGTAAATGCCTTTTCTGTTAATTTTATGTCTTATACTTTACTTGAATTTCACATTAGTCTGCAAGTGATTGTACCAATTAGAAATGTGCTAAGTTTGGTTTAACTCTTAGTCGTACTTGCATCCTTAACACTGAGCACAGTGCCACACGCTAACCAGATGCTGGAGACGAGAGTAATCATGCCTCCCTCTCCCTGTTATAAGTGAAAAGTGTGAAGTTAAATATTGCCATAGTTATCCTCAAGGCCAGGACAACGGCTCACTCATTGTTAGCCATGAAAAATAATACCTTAAATTATATTTTTGCTCTTTAACAAAGGTTGGTTTTCAGAGATTTCTGAAAGAATTTATTTTTTATTAGTTTTAAAACACACACACACACCTAGCACTTTGGTTCCGAAAAGAATGTGGGAGGGAGATGGGGATATATCACTGTGGGGTGTGGGGGCAGATGTTGTTCCTATTTGCACACATCCTTCTGTACCGTTGGAGAAATCCTCGCTGTGGGTGTGGTCTCTTCC